ATTTAATCCAGGTATGTTCTGTTTATCGTATTTAATCCAGGTATGTTCTGTTTTTGGTGTTTAATCCAGGTATGTTCTGTTTTTGGTATTTAATCCAGGTATGTTCTCTTTATGGTAATTAATCCAGGTATGAGATTAATTGCACATTGATATGAATCATGTTAAACTAGCGATATCCTGCTGAATCAATTAGATAAATACACTTGAATTCATCTTCACAAACTATTCCCTCCTTTTTCCGACAGCATCTAAATGCATCACGGATGCAGCAGCCAGCAGCAGGCTCCTCCCACTTCCAATATGGCAGCCATGGGAAGTAGACAAGCGTCGCCACGAATTTAGGAGTTTTTTCGCATAGAATGAGAGCTGTAGGAGGCTGTCACCTAGAGTTCCGTGTTGTGGGAGCAATAGTATTTCCCGGCGCCAATGTCCCGTTGGAGGAGCACTTTTAAAGTTTTCAAAAAGACAATGTTTGTCAGTGGGCTAAGCTAGCAAGCAACGGTTAGCAAGTAAATGAACCTGTGTCTTCTGAATAATTAGCAGAAACCATTCGCCCTGCATTCATCCTTCTAGGTGAGCATTTATTTCTTTAAAAAGGCGTACAAACTGCAATGCATTGAGGTCTTCTAAAGGTTGGGTTTAACTCATAAATAGTTGATCAGAGAAATGAACCCAGAGGACCTGCAAATTAGTGTTAAAATATGTATAAGCTATTGTTACGTTAATAGTTTTGTATTAATTGTTGTCCAACCTGTTAATGTTGTAGTTTATTGGAGCTTATCTGACCGTCCGTCTCCTAAATGTGCTTCCTTTTCCTGTCCAGCAGCTCCCTTCACCATGGCCATCACTCAGTTCCGCCTGTTCAAGATCTGCACATGTTTAGCCAGCTTACTCTCCTTTTTCAAAAGGTTGATATGCAGGTAAGCAGCAGTGACACTTTACCAGTTTGTGATTGTTTTTTGTTTTTCTCAAACCATATTTTCATTACAAATAAAACCCACAGAATGTGAGTCAGCAGTCTCTAAATGCTTTTGTTCAGCTTGGGACTGGTTGTTTCTGCTCTTTCTTATTAAAATGCCATGGTTCTGTCAATCAATTTTAATATGTTATATTCATGACTAGGGCTGTGAATAATGATTATTTTGCAAATCGATTAACCTGTCGATTACTTTTTTGATTAATCATTTAATAATTTGATAGCCAAATGTCCTTTAAAGAAGACTTTTTGCTAAATTAAACCAGTGGAAACTAAAACTTTTCCACTCAAGGAGTTGTGGAAAGAGCAGATTGACAGAGGAAAAAGATTTTTTTCTTAAATGCAAACAGTTTACTTTTAACACTGCTTACTGCTCTAAGTGGGTCGTTCTGTCAGCTAAAGGCATGTTTTAGAGTCTCTACACTCCACAGTTAATCGATTACTAAATTAGTTGACGATTATTTCAAAATCCATTTATCAGGACTAACCTGATTAATTGTTTCAGCCCTATTCATGACTTTAATTGGACTATGTGACCTTAACATTAAGGCATTCCATGAACCCTCTTTCGTTAAGATTAGTATAGTGACTCAATACTCTGGAATTTTAAAATCCTACTGAAATTTTCCTTAAATCAATTTTAAATACATCTTGGGAGATTAAAAAAATTTTATGGAGCTCATCCTCTCTCTTAACTCTCTGCATTTAACCCATCCCCTTGGGGAGCAGTGGGCTGCTATTGTGCGCCACCCGGGGAGGAATGTGGGGTTATGGGTCTTTACTCAGAGATCCATGGTGGCAGTCTGTGTAATTGGGGCTCGAACTCAGACCCTCAGGATTCCAAGCTCTATGCCCTAACCACTACGCTGCCACTCACCGTAAATTCTCACAACAGCCCTTAAAAAATGTGACTTGTGTACATGTATTGATATAGGATAGGACTTTATTGATCTATATAGCTATACTAAAATACCTTAACAAGATGTATAACGGTCCTTCACTCAGACACAAACAAAAAAAACAACACATGGAGTAGTATACAAACATCCATGGGGTAAAGCAGCAAAGTAACATTTTAAAAGACACACGACTGAAATCCTTATTGATTGATGTAATAACAGAGGGATATAGTGTTAGCAACATTAGCGGTTTGCCAGTTTCATTTAGCATCATTTCCTGGTCTCTTAGGCTACGTTCACACTGCAGGCCTTGATGCTCAATTCCGATTTTTTTTTTTTTGCGTTGCTGTTCACATTTCAAAATATATGCGACTGGTTTGTGATCTCCTGTGTGAACTGCGTTCATACAACCTAAGTGTCCCGTATGCGCAGTAAAGGGTGCAATGACGTGTTTACGGAAGTAAACATGGATGGTAGTGCTGGAGAACATTTAGCGATCTTTCCCAAAATTAAAAACTCAATCTTTCCAAGATGGTTAAACATAAATACTGCTCTCCGCATTATCGTCCACCATTGTTGTTGTTCTTGCTGCTTCTGCGTAACAAGATGCAGAAGAGTGACCATTGTCAGGTATTAATGGCGTTCAGGTCAGATGAATGCGACCTGGCCGTTCAGACACAGGTCACATTTGAAAAGATCAGAGTCGTATCGGATTCAGGACCACAGAGCCAAGTTGCCTGGGTCGCATTGGAAAAAATCGGATCTGTGTTGTTCAGACTGCCATGAAAAGATCAGATCCAGGTCACATGTGGGCAAAAAAAATCGGATTTGGGTCACTTCAGGCTACAGTGTGAACGTAGCCTTACTCAATAAGTAAAAATTTAAACAAGCAGCAACACTTAATCGACTGCCTTCAATTGAGTCCCTGTCCTTTACTATAAGAATGATCTATTTTTCTAAGCTGCGGCTTGATGTCGTCTTTGCTTGGTATCGTGCTAAATGATTGAAATATTGGGGTGTGAAATGTGCAGCACAGCTTAACTTAATCCATTGCTTCATGGTACTGGAGTCCATAGATGCAGGAAAAACGAAAACTTGAACTTGTTTAATTTGGCAACCAGCAATAGAGCAGTAATTATGTAAATAAAAGAGGAGGATCAATATTGATTTTTAGGTTGATTTGAAACTTGTAATTATATTACAAATGCAATAAATTGCTCAGCTCTAGATTAAATAATAATGTGCTGAAGAACCATGTTCTTTTGGATCATGTGAAAGAGCTGTTAGACTGAAAGGATTTGAGTGTTTGCACACTTTTATTGCTATAAGAAGTTTTAAATGTCTGTGTTGCTTAACTTACAGGTACATTTATTTTTGTTTTTTTTCTGTTATAGACATTTTATCTATATGATGATCAATCCATAACCAATGTAATACGTCTACTGACCTTTCCGTTTAATATATTGTGTGGCAGACACATTTTAAATGAGATTCTCTGTAAACATGGTTTACTTGTTCTGCTTGTTCTGCTCCATCAGTCATGAGAAGAGATCATCTGGTTGCAGGAAAGAATGTGTGGAATAGATCAGATTTCATGTTAGGAAAACCAAATTCTGTTTATTAGCATTTAACCGAGAACTATAGAGTTATGATCACGTGAGAAATTCCCAACATTACTAGATGAATTCATTCAGTTTTTCTGACCTTCTGCAGCAGCTGCTGCTCAGACAACAAGCATTTGCTGTGTGAAATAAACAGGAAAGTTAATCAATACAGCAAACTATTAAATTTGTGGGTTAAACTTGCAGCCAGAATGTGTTGATTTAGCATGATGTGTTAAGGCAAAGTCGTGCATCATCATGATGTGGAAAAAAAATACTTCAAGGGTTTTAAAGAATAGAAATCCATAAAGTGAGCTGTGCATTTAACCTTATCCAACTTTAAGCTAGGTTTATACACGCCGTATGGAAAAGAAGGTTTGAGCGCCAGCTGTGACGCAATCGTGTTGTCCAAACCCACAAGTTCCTGTGGCGCAAGGTCCTGCAGCTCTGAATTTTTGTAACTTGGCGTGGACCACACACACAAGCCTCATTCAAGCTGGGGAGATTCAAAGGAGCCCTTGGCGAACAAGTTCTTCTGTACCAACATCAAATGGACTAGTCGTTTCAAAATGTAGTGAAAGGTGCAGTAGGAGGTCTTGGAAAAAACAGTTCCAGCAAGCTATATTTTTGAACATATACAACCATGCCTCTCCCTTCGAACCCCTCGAAACCGTGCCTTCAAAACACATGGATGTGCACGCTGTCTGCAGCGCGTCTGGAGCAGCGCTGATGATGCAGATCACTATGATCATTCCTCTGCAACAGTTTAACACCTAAGTTAACTTAAAATACGGAAATCCGCCGTGAAAACATGTTTTTTTTATTATCATGGTGCCTGCAGTTTGGATTACGTACATGAAAAACGCCTTCCAGCCGTCGCAGCAAACAGGGCAACCGGGCTATAGGCTGCTGCTGAATGGGATTCCTAGTGACAACGCACCGCCGGTGTATGAGGGTCTGAGCGGCTCCGACAGAAATGTTTGAAGGCAGGATGGTAATCTGGATGAACTGACTGCACTGACGATGTTTTCAGGTGGACTTTTTCACTTCAAAATGGATTCAAACTTCTTTTTACCTGCTGATCACAGCAAATATAGCTGCCATTGTTCCAGGCAAAGAAAGGATAGGGTAGCTCAGCCCAACACAGATCAGACCCACTTTTTGACCGTGCAGCCAGAGCAGCAAAGATGCTTCAGCCGCGCGTCCGAAATAAACTTGTACAAGCATCAAAAAAGAATCAGCATGCGTGTTTTTGCTGCTCCTGCTGCTTGCGGCGTGAACATAGCATAACTGCATCAGAGGAGGGTTTCTGGACATGTCGACTTGACTCCAAATATAAATTCGCTCCATAGTTCCAGCTATAGTATTTAATTGGAAAGAATTTTGAAAAAGAAATGTGATTCTTCTTAAATGACTGATGTACTTATGCTGCTTTAATGTGGTATGGTAAAAATTATTCTTTTCGCTTTAAGTGGAAATCACTGTCGCATTCAAGGTTTTTTAAATTTTGTATTCAATATTTTACCTGCTGGAAAATGTTGATATTTAAAGCAGAACTTCAATTATTTCATCAAGTCCTGTTTTCTAGAACCATCTTTGTGTGTAAAGTAAACCTGTTTTTACTGAATAATCCGACTCTGTGACACAGGAGTGGGAGGGGCCGCAAGCTCAGCGGGGATCAAATAACTCTCCCGACAACTGTTGATTTTTCATCATCTTTACCAAAACAGGCGAGTAACTTCATCCCTCACATGTCCTTAAAGCATTAAGGTAGAATTTAAAAATTGTGTGGGACTAAAAATCCTTGTTTTTCTTGGTTTACACAGCCAGAAATCGAAGAATGGAGCTCCTGGGATGAAGAGGCTCCTACGAGTATTAAGATCGAAGGCGGGAATGGAAATGTGTCTCCTCCTCCGGATGATGCAGATGAAGAGCCTGATTACTTCAAAGACATGGCTCCTACCATCAGGAAGACGCAGAAGGTTGGACTTTGTGTTTAAATAATTCCTCATTTCTCACATTCTGTTTTAACATGAATACTTCCTGACATTAGAGAATAATCAGAACCTTTTTAGGGTAGCCTCAATCTCTGACTGCTCTCACAATTATTATCTTCCCTCTCTCCCCTAATTATCATTTAGCAATAACATCAAGAACTGATCAGTTTTTAGTTTTGAGCTTTTTCTCCTTTTTACTTTCGCAACATTTTAGATCGTGCTGAAAAAGAGGGAGCCCCTGAACTACCTGGTACCAGATGGATCAGCAGGATTCTCCAGCAGACTGGCTGCCTCTCAGGATATGATGACCTTCAGTCCGCCCTCTGTAAGATTCACTTATGCTTGTCTTGAAACATTATGGAGGTTTTGGTCTGAGCTGTGAGCAGAATGTTTTGTGAAGTAGTAAAAAGAATCCTGCATCTAATCTTCAATTTGTACATAAAGTGTATGAAGTGGTGACTCCTTGAGATGGAACAAGACAAAATGTAGATTTTTCTTCACAATGCTGCAGATATTCATAACACGCAATGAGCGAGGAGGTTTTAACCAAGCGGGCCAGATTAATAACCATAGGTATGTCATTGAACTTGTCACAGGCTGAACTGGGAGAAATGGAAAACTGGCAGGAGAACTCTAATGCCTGGGAGGACGAGTCTGAAGCTGCCTGGGAGGCAGAGGAGGTGCTCAGGTAAATGTGGGCGGAGACATCTTTGTTCACAGCAAAAGAGCAAGAGTAAAACTCACTGCCGTGGTTGGAAGTTTGCATCCTCTAATTATGAAAATGTCATTTTTTATTTTGGCCTTTTGATGAATAATTTAAGCTGTTTATTTTCTAGGGAAATACAATGAATTACAATAAAATTTAATAAGGAGAAAATGATAAACAAGCTTAAATGAATCCTGGATTTCTTAATGTAAACCAACTTTATTCCTTCTGAATACAGTTTTTATTTAAGCTTATAGTATTTTAATCATCAAGAAGAGAATAAATTCAGATATTTAGCTAAAAATAGAGTCAATAATGCATGTTAGAGTACACAGTCATAAAAGACAGCATTCTTCAGACTGTAATTATTATTCAAAATAAAGTGAAATCAGGTTTGTTTTAACATGTCAAGTAATGATGATGCTTGGAATAACCATTTTAATCTTCTTTTCTTGCTTCTTTTCTACCAGGCAGCAAAAGATGGCTGAGAGAGAGAAGCGCTTCATGGAGCAGCAGAAGAAGAAAATGGAGAAGGAGGCTCAGAGGATGCTGAAGAAGGAGCAAAAGATTGCAGTCAAGCTCTCGTAACATTTTAGAAAAGCTCAGTTTTGAGCCAAAGGGATTGGAAGTTTGGGCATAGACTTCAGATCTATCATTAAACTGTCTTTAAAGTCTTTCCCACAGGATTATCTTCAGTCACTCTCTACTTTATCTGTTTACAAACTGCTCCGTTTCAGTTTCTACCAGCAGCCATTTCAGTTTGTTGTGCAGCTGCACCATAAAACACATCATCAGCCTGGAGAGCTGAGATTAAAATTAAAACACGGCTAGAGATAAAAATTCAATTCATTCCATTTATAAATGGAAAATAAATCTGCAGAAATGAGTGTAATTTATAACTTGCATCACTGGAAATCAGTGACATTCTTTGGTTTGCTAATTATTGTGTTTTTATATTTATCTCTGTAGCAGTCTGTACAATAATTTTTCCAAAATTTGTGGCTTGATTTGTTTTTGTTTTTCTCACCCTGTGCTATAAAGCCATTTCTGTATTGAAAATCTTTGCTCAAACTAAAACTGGAGCTTTTGACCTTGATATTAGTAAATATTGCTAGAATAATGAAGTCAAACTATGATTGGTGGCTGTGGGTTCCTATGGCAACCTCCTGGCTGCTGGCTTACCGTCATTGCCAGACATTTATTTCCTATAGAAGACAGATGGTGATCGGTGGATTTCTGTTTTCTGGTCTTAGGAAATCTTGCTTTTTCCTTGTTCTAGTTAATAAACAAACTCTTTTATAAAATGCAGAGCACATATGCAATAAAGATCAATTTCCTCACTGAAAGATAGCATTTAGAACTGCAGATTTAATGTGTTCCTGTTGTAAAGAATCCCAGATCATTACCTGAAAATTATTTCTGTTATTAAAACCTAACCATGTGAACAATTTGAAATATGAATGCATGATCTTGTACTTAAGCATTTTAGAAGCTTCATTAAATTAAAAGTCCAAGGAAGCATTTTTATTTTTTATTTGCAATGTTACAAAAGCTTTGCAGATTTCAGGTTTTGCTGCCTATTATTTTTCAGGTGATTAAGGGGAAAAAAATCAAAAATATCTGGATGTTTTTTTAACCTAAACAATTGGGTGATGGTGGATAGTTTTAACAATTAACATGTGACACATTTATTTAAAAAAAAAAAAAAAACTTTTTTTTTTTTTTTTTTTTTGGTGAATGGGTTTTCCTCAAATATAACTTTAAGCCTTTTTTATTTTATTTTTCTTTATTTTGCATACTTTCCCCAGAAATGAATCATGGACATCTTTTATTTTTTAACTGTATTTATGTTCAATGGAAGTTGGTTGAGCATAAACAAAGACTGTCTCTGGAAAAATGATTTGACAGACTGTAAATCTGGTGTACAAGTCATTTTTTTTTAAAATAAAGATATTGATTCAAATGTTTGTTTTTTCTGATGACCTAAACTATTATCAGGAGGTGAAATTTCTTGCATCCTCAAACTAAATTCTGATTCGCTGTGTAGGTTCATGCTTTCACTAGTTGTTCACACCAAATGCATTCAAACTTTAAAAAAACAACTCATTAGGTACACCATTATGTACGAAACCTAAACAGCCATACTTGCACGCAATAGTTATTTGATAATAAAGCAACCAAACCAAATCACGTTAATAAACTTTTAATTGATCATTTTGATAGTGGCCTGTAACTAATGAAAACCCCATCTTCAGTTTCAGAGTCATATACAGTAAATTAGAATATATAAAAAAAGATGCTGCCTTTTTTTTTTTTCAAATTAAATATGGCTTCTAAAAATAAACCTATACTGTTAAATTTCTATATTTTTTTATTTGGGGTTTGTTTTTTGGTTTGAATTAATACAGTTCTCTCAAATGTCTTATCTCTATTAGCTGTATGTTGGAAACATAATATAATTTAAAAAGTTGTAGTCTGTTATGAATCTATATAATATTAAGGATTGACTGAAGTTACTGAGTTAAACTTTTAGATAAGATAATCTATTGAATGGGTGTATAAGACCAATAAAAGTGTTTTACATACAGAAACAGGCTGCTGAAAAATGTTAGTATACTGCACAGTGTATTTCTTCAGTTCTTAGTATGATCTTGTATTTATCTTTTTTAGCTTGAATTACTGAATTAAACCACTGAATAAATCAGCCTGAGGTTTTTGTTTACTGGCAAATCAAACACTGTGATGTCAATGATATTAAAATGGTAGTTTTAGGAAGTGTGGTCCAGTGCCAAGTCCTTCTGGAACAGGAAATCAGCATCCACATAAAGGTTGTCAGGAAAAGGAGGGATGAACTTCTCCATTCCTGATGGGCAGCTGTGCTCACTAAGGACCAACTTTAGGAATGACAGCTCCTTAATTTATTCCCGACTAGAAATTTCACCCTGAACCTCAAGCCACTGTGCAAAAAGAAGCCTTGAAGAGCAGTTCAACTACTTTTCGCCTCATCCAATGAAATAAATGGTTTAGGTACATGTGGACACAAGGAATGCCCACCTGCTAAATACCCAATATGCCTCGTGTCTCCTGAACCTCAAAATCCAGTAGCAGTCCAGGGCATGTCATTACTTTTCAGGATGTGGTCCTCCATGCGGGATAGTGGTAATTATCAGCTATATTGATTAGCTGTAAATGGAAATCCTTATATTTCGCAGAAGTAAAAGCTAGTGCTGAAACAATTACTCGGAATAATCATGATTAATTGATTATTGAAATTATTGTCAACTAATTTAGTAACCGATTAATCATTAACTGGAAAATACTCTAAAACATGCCTTTAGCTGACAAAGCGACCCACTTAAAAATTGTAAAAAATAATATACATACATTTTGCATTTAAGATTTAAAAAAATTGAATGTTTTTGTCTGTCACTACGCTCTATCCAGAACTCTTCAAGTTGAAAAGTATTAATTTCGCCTGGTTTGATTTTGCCAAAACTCTTTTTTAAGGAACATTTTGCTTTCTGATTATTAATCGCTTAATCAAAAAAGTAAACAACAGATTAATCGATTGTCAAAATAAACATGTTGCAGCCCTACCTTTAAAAAATCGAGCTTAGATAAACAACCTGAAGAAATTAGAAACATTCTTTCTGAAATGGACCAATGTCAGCTGGACAGTGGTGCAGTTAATAGCACTGTTGCCTTTGCAGCAAGAAGGTTCTGGATTCTATTCCTGGCCCGGGGTCTTTCTGCATGGAGTTTCTATGTTCTCCCCCTGCATGTGTGGGCTCTCTCATGGTATTCCAGCTTTCTCCCACGGTCAAAAAACTGGACTGTTAGGTCTTTTGTTTCTAGGTTTGTGCACTTGGTTGTGTGACAGATCTGTCCAGGTGTACCCTGCCATTTGCTCATAGACTGCTCAAGATAGGCATCGGCCCCACAGTGACAGGAGAAGATGGATGGATGGAAGAACCAATGTCTCTTTTATGTAGACCATTTTACTTCTGCAATCTAAAGTTCATCACTTCTGACAAAGCCTGAAGAGTTAATATATATCACCTGAATATGTGCGCACTTTTGTTGCTCTTTTATAATACATGTATGTATGTATATATATATACCGGTATATATATGGAGGATTTTATTCAGTTGTGGGGTTTTAACAACATTTTATGTACTGTGTCAGATTATTGAGAGCAACATTTTAACAATCCCCTCATTTGCCGATTTTAACTGACACTTGTTTTACATCAAATATTTATAAGTTTGAATGTCAAAAGTCTTCTTCTTCTTCTTCTTCTTCTTCTTCTTCTTCTTCTTCTTCTTCTTCTTCTTCTTCTTCTTCTTCTTCTTCTTCTTCATGGCGGTTGGCAAGCAACTTGTTGATGCCCATTACCGCCATCGACTGGAATGGAGTGTGGATCGGGACACTATATATAAATTCTCCTACACAAAAAAATTAAAATAAATTAGAAAAATTAAGTTAAGAAATCTGATATTCGTTCTATTAATTTCGTTTTAAGAATAGGTTTTTTTTTTCTGAATACAATTGTTAATTCCCGGCGTGAATATGACGTATTTCCGCATTTCACCGGAACTTCACGGATGTTGAAAACACGCTCTACCTTCTTCTGAGCTCTTTGGTAAAACTGAATGTTTTGGTGCTAAATTATTCGGGTTACTGTTATTTTACTTCTTATCTCTCTGAGTCAAGGTCTATTAAATACTAATGTGCGTTTACTTTATTGTTTTAGAGCCCTAAAAGGTCGTCAGATTCTCCCTCTTTTGATGCAGTTACGCCGCCGAATCTCGCGAGAAGTGGAATCTCTAAGTGAGTAAAGCTCACGATTCAGTTAAGCTAGGCATAAAGTTTTTCTTTTTTAGTACTTTACTACTATGAAGTGAATGGAGAGTTGCATACTCTTGATAATGATGTCTCCGCTAGTCTACTTTTCCTACACACTGCTTGTTGGTTATTTTAGAGCTTTTAGGATTTAACTAACGTGTCCTGTTTTCTTTTGTCCTTCCAGGACAAACACAATGAATAAAGAGTCCAGGCTGAAAGCATCAATAAACCAGAAGTTGACAGAGACGGGAGAAAGAGATAGGTTTGTAGGGTTGAATTTTTGCACAAGTGGTCTAGGTGATCTTTCTGTAATGAGTTTCAGCTCTCGCTCAATTGATACTATTCTGCACATAAAATGGACATACGGTAATTCGGGAGTGAAGTCAAGGGTGTAACTTTGTAATACTTTTAAGGATGGAGGCTGATGGAGCTAGAGTTACTCCACCCCAATGCTTTCATTAGGTTTTTGTATTTTCCAAAAATGAGCTTAGACATATATTTATTGGACATTTCCCTATTGTTGAGAACACAAGAGAACCATAATACACGGATATGTATATTAATAGATGTTAGAGATGCCTTTAGTGCATTGCATACATTAATGTATGCAAAAAATAATGAATAGCAGCCGATTCCGATGCCAAAATGAATCCATATATCATGCATCTCTAGAAGTACAATTTCAATTCCATCCACCCATCAAGAAAAATATGGATATGTTGCATTTTAAATATAGCATAGTATATTTTTCTTGTAAACATGGAGATATATTTTATTGGATATCCCAGTAAATCTGTCTCACCTTTAAATGCAGCTCTCCCTACTCCTCTCTGTGCTCTGTTTAAAAAGATTTATAAACCTCTTTACTAATATAATGATGCAAGAAACAACATTTCAAGATATGTAAAAGCTTTGCAGTCTGATTCTGTCTGTACAATAAGAAAACATGTTCATTTTAACCTGTAACTGGGAGTCATGGTCCTCTGAGAAGCCAAGTTTTTTAACTAGTAAAGAAGAACAAACTGTTTTCTCAAGCTTCTTGCATTATAATACTAACTTGTATAAATTTACATTCTATTGCCAATTTTAGCTGAAAAAGCTCTGTATGTTTAACAAACAGATTTTTCGGCGGCATCTCTTAATTTTTTTAACCAACCCGTCTCCTAACTTTTACTTAAACGTCGCAGTAGCTGCCGGTTAATACTCACTGAGTGCTGCCGTAGCTACTTTGTATGTCAGTGAAATCTGACCGCAGATCAGATGTCTTAAAGCGACAGATGTGATGATGTTACACTGAGAGGCGGGACACAGGAGCAGCGGGAGAGAGGAAAAAGGAAAAACGCCTTCTCAAAACGCTCTTAACACAGATAGCTGCACCCAACTCTGTTACCTCTGGCTAAAGCAAATGAGCGGAAAGGAGAAAAAAAGATGTTATACAACCGAGCTGACTATTTTTTTTTTTTTCTTTTTTCTGGCTTATGAGAGAAGTGGGCTTTATGCTGTCCTGCAAGGCTTTAAACCTGGGTTTGAATGGAGACAAAGCCATGCTCAAGCACATATCAAGGTGCCCATTCTGAGACTGGATCCATATTTATTTTTAATTATGTTCGTGGTGGAGAATCCTGTTTCAAAGGCCTCTAAAGCATGCTTTCAGTAGACAGAGCAACCCAGTTAGAGCAGTAATTATACCAAAATTGTAAGGAAAAAAAAATAATAATAATAAAATCTTCTATCAATAAGCTCTATCCAAAACTTTGCAAGTTGAAAAGTTTTAGTTCCCTTGGTTTAAATCTGTATAAAATTTTTATAAAGGCACCTTTTCTTATGCAATTATTAATCGAAATAAAAATAAATAAAATTAACCGATTGATTATCAAAATAATGGTTAGTTGCAGCCTTTTACATGACCCAACATTAGTTGCTTAAATTATGTTGAGGTGAAAAAAAAAGCTCCAGAATGACTGCGGGAAGACTTGATCGTTTTTTTTGACGGTTTTCCTCCAGAATTAGTTTCTTCCAGAACTGCAACCTGTCCTCGTTGCTCTGAAGTAAACGACAGTCAGCGCTCACAGATCTGGAAGGCTGAAACCTGACCTCAACCAGAGACATCAGAACTGTGCATAGAAATATCTGAAGGAAGATTCTCCAACTCACAAATGGATTACTAAGATGAAAGTGGCTATCAATGGACCAGATGGATATCTTAAAGGAATAGTACACCCAAAACATGATTAGCCTTCATTTT